CAAAGGGAGGTCATCACTACAACGCAGAGATACTCCAAAAATACATTAACTGGAAAGACAGGATTGAGCACGTTTTGCAGAATGTTGAGCCTGAATGTTCCATGCACACTATGTAATGGGTTTTTGCAAAGCTCTTCGAGTTTCACTCTTTTCTAGAGCAGCCTTCATGACTGCTTGTGCTTTCTAGCTGTCCCTTCCCCCTGTCAAGGGGAGCTCAACAAGGCCCAGTACAGGCCAGTGCCTCCCGGCTCTGCTGTGGGAAACACAGCAAGGTGATTACATTCCATTAACTAATATGCCGACTGGAATATACCACCTCTCACACTTTTAAAATACTCTGTGCTATGATATAGACCAGACCTCTTCAGTATATCACCCAATGCCCTCTGCCTAACTCTCCACTTGATCATCCCAGCTGACATCTGACTTGCTTAGTTATTCCTGCATCAAGGGCAGCTCAGGACAGGCCTGCTCAGCCCCAGGATGAAAGGGCTTTTGCTCTGTGTGTGATGCCCTAGAAATCCTCCAAGTGGAATAAACCAGAGGGAAAACAGAACGAAACAAAACAGAACAAAACAAGAAACAAACTGAACAAGCCTCCACAAAACCCATACCTCCAACATCCCAACTGAGTTCCCATGCATAATGAAACAACGTGCATCCCTCAGGCCCAGTTTGGTGCTCTATGAGCCAAGCTGGGGTAAGCTTTTGGCACCAGCAGCTGAAAGATTGGTCTTTTATGCTGCAAAAATTCTGGAGGCTACTGGGGCTGTTTGCATCTCCAGGGCACACCTTCCATCACTCCTCACAGAGCAAACCAGTAATGCAAGCACTTGGGAGAGATTAGCCTACAAGCAAAACGCTTATTCGGAATTATGTTAACGAGACCTGCACATTTCACTGTGGGCTGGAAACCGAGATTTCAAAATGGGAAGAAGATTGTCCTGCGTTTACTGCTGCAAATACATTTCTTTTTCTTCTTGAAATATACACAGTTTTGGCTTCTTTTGCTTTGATGCACTCTTGTGAAATGTGTAAACACAATACAGAAAGATCTTTCTAGCTCAGGGCTCTGGCAGGAATAGGTTCCCTATCAGTAACATGTCCATACTGTACTAAGAAGCTGCCTTTACTGGTCAATTTCGAACAAATTGGAATTGTACTTTAAACACCAGACTATTTCATTTACATATTATTCTTTGGCACAGATAGCTTAAATCTCTTCAACTCTAATTTCAACAAAAGGAAGGGAAAATAAAGAAGTATTCAGTGGCATTGAGTGGAAGAAGTGGTTTTTGGCTCTGGAAAACACACAGCCATGAAAGGACACTGTAATGGAATCTGCTATGGGTTTCTCTTTGGAACAGCTGCAAGGCGGTTATTTAAATGTATTCATTCACTTCTAGTGTTTGGCTGGTAGAATCCACTGCTGGCAAAAGCAAAGAGAGTGATGAATTTTGTTGTTTTCTTGTTTTAAGCATTTCTGAAGCACTGTTGGAAGTCCCTATTTCATTAAACAAGTAAGGCTCACATCACTTCTTCTTCAAAGCTTTTATAGCAGAGTTCATCCCATGCCATTCACAAGAAGATACTAATCACTCCACAGAGTAAGTTGCTCCATTTAGATCACCACTTGTGCTTCCTCTCTGCAAAACACAAAGCCCTTAGGGATACTAAATGTTTCCTGCAGGCTGTTTCAACTTTCTACTTCTCTGCATTATCAGACCAATCAGGTTTCTGTTATCCTTTTGCACATACAGAGCTGAACCATGAAGCTGTTAGGTCTGCAAAAAAAAAATTCTGAAACTTAAAAAACCAGAAAGTTTTGTAATTTTGTTGTTTCTTCCTCTTAGGAACAGAACAGCTTATGTCTCATTCGAAATCAATAGATACAGCCCTACAATAAAAACAACTCCATCACCAACAAATATTTGTTAACTATGGCAATTTTTTCTTTTAATTGGTTCTTTGATATATTGGGAATGCTGTCCTAGAATCATTTTCTGATCCAGATCTCAGCTGTGGACAATCAAATACCCTGAAACTTTATTTATCCTTCACATTTAAACATGGCCAAGATGCATTCAGTGCTTATCTCTGGTGAATGCTGGAGGGGAAAAGAAGGTTGAAGCAGAGCTTCAGAGAGATCAGTGCGTGGGAGAATATGAAGAGACATTACTGTGGAAAACAAGTGTTGCTTCAGTAGAGACTTGTAGGGATGCATCAAAATCCCTTACTGTGTTGACAGACTGGCAATAAGAAAGTAGCAGCACTGTTACACCTGGTATTAAGAACTTTGAAAACCTTTCCACAACCTGAGCCTTTCTGTCGACTTAGAAAATAAATCACATGAAAAATACCTATTTCGATTAAATTAACAAAAACTTCCCACTGCGGTGTCACCACAAGCATCTGTACAATCAAGCCCAAGCCAAAATCTGTCAGAGTGGGCTTTGGACTACAAAAAGCATTGCTGAGGTCTCTGGGATTATCCTGTGTGGTAACAGCCTATTCTTGGCTGTCCTTGGGCATTTATTTAAAGGGCTGATGACAGTCAAAGGAGTACTTGCTTCTGTGATGAATACATATATACCTATTTCTAATGCTAAAGTGTCCAAATGAAGTATCCAGGAAACCAACTGTCCTGGTAACACTAAATAAAAAAAATTAATGCTAAAAGAATACCAAAAAAAAAAAAAAAAAAAAAAAAAGAAAGAAAGAAAGAAACTTTCAAGTAAAGTAGCAAAGCACTTTTTTTTTTTTTTTTTTTTAAATAATAAATGAGATGCCATCTAGCTCATGTAGAAAGCATGCAAGGCTACTTCCAAGTTGTCTTATTTTTTTATCTTTAAGACATTAGCCCCTAAATATCTTCTGCAGCTGACTGTGTTTTCTACTCGGTTTTAAAAGGAAAAACAATGTGCTGCAGAAAAAAAAGGTATTCTAACAAATGTACCTTTTCTTAAACAATAACCAAAGCTCATTTTAATGCTCATTTAGCACAGATGCTAAAGTCAAGCCCATTCAATAAGAAACAGCTTCTTTTCTGTCTAATTATTCTGCCCTTAAGATATGTTACAATGCCCTTTTCTGTTAAAAAAATTGTTCCTCACCCTCTGCAACAGAAGTCTCCAGGCTATTTTTTTGGAGCCATTTCTCCTTTACATAGGTTAAAGCCCTGTAACCATCATATCCAGCATGGCTTACTGAAATCTGTGGGGAATTCACACATGCACTTAAAATCTCCCATGTGGATATAATCTGTGAAATTGGAATCCGCTTTTACAATAAGAGGTTCAGAGAATAGTATTTTACAACCCACATTGAGATATCAGTCTTTCCTTTGCCTCCTGTTGCCATTTTGTTTTTGCTCTCAAGTCAAATCCTATGGAAGTACGGACTCTGAAACCTGGACATGGAAGGGAGAGCCACAGAATCATAGAATCATCAAGGTCGGACAAGACCTCTAAGATCAGCCAGTCCAACTGCCCACCTATCACTAGTATTTCCAACTAAACCCATCTATGTTAACAGCCAATATCTAGTATAATCTATATTTAGATTATACTTTTTGCCTCTTGTCTTTGGTCTAGAGATCCAAATCCTGTGCAAGATGTAGTCAGCAGAAAGTCCCTGCACAAAGCATGCATGTATGGTAAATGCAACAGAACCGTGACCATACAGTTTAGAAGGACATTTTCAATCAAACCCTTTAGAAGTAATAGCTTTTCTCCCACTTGTTCTTACACCACAACTGACCTTATGCTCTCTTCAAAAAGGCATTTATCCTGAACAGCAACCCCTGAACAGTAGCACACGTTTCTTACACGCAAAGAAGCTTCTGAAAAGAGAATGCAGGGAGACAGTGGTGCAGATGCCTTTCAGAGCATGCAGGGAATGGTCTGGGGGAGCCTTATTCCAGGAAGGCAGAAGAGTGCATCAGTGGCCAAGCACCCTGCAATACAGCCATACAGGATCTCCTTCCTGTCAGGTGTCCTGAAACCTGCTGCAAAGAGATAAAATCCTTCTCTGACCCTAATATGGACTTGAAAAGCAACAGAAATGGTTTTAAAATGTACTACTTCTTAATCTGAAGTCCAGGAAGAAAAGGAGCACAAATAATTCCCCCTAAAAGAGATTTTAGATTTAGCTCCACCACCCATAAATAAGTTTTTTGCAGCTTCTCAGAGGTCTCTGCTAAGAGATTCAGTTCTCCCGAGTCAAAAGATCTTTAGCAAAAGGAAAAAAAGAAGAAAAAAAAAGTTATGTTGCCAATTTTCTGATAGTATCACCTAAACTTCACCAGTTGTGGAGTGATGTATATATGAAGTATATACCCTTAAAAGTTTTAAATTCCAACAGACACCTGGGTCTCAAGTCAGAGGAACTTTTCAAGATGAAACCTTCAGCAGTACTAACATCTCCTTTTCTGTTTGTAATATTTACTTCACTAACAGGAAAAAATATGTGGTGTTCAGTGCATGGAGCTGAAGAAATCATTTAGGTCTTTATAAATATCAAGTCTTAAGCACGCACTTTGACTCATGAAAGTAAGATTAGTAATTGTTAGTAATTGTAAGTATATTACTATTTTATTGCCAGTTTTGGCTTAAAAGCTTAGCACTCCTCATAAGAGCACTGAACCTGAAATTTCTCATGGTTTTATTCCAAATGAACCCCATCGTGACCTTCTTCTACCCTGTATTCATTATGCACAGTAAAATCAAACCACATGGCAGGCAACACCTACGTGGAAACAATAAGGATCATAATACGCTGTATCTTTTCTTCTACAAATAGCAGTACAATACAGTGTCATGCCTCATAGTATAACAACATTCTTAGGAAATGATGAATGTCTTTAATACAATGTTTCAGGGAAAATTCCCTCGATGACTCAAAACTGAGAGAGAAAAAAATAAAGAAGCAGGGATTCATTGGGGAAATAAAAAAGAGGTTCAGACAGCTTGGCTGCCTGAGTTTCATTGTGATCTCCTCACCTCGATCACCTCAGGCTGTGACATCATGGAGGATGGCACCAAATCAGTGGGAATATCCATTTTAGCTCAAAATGTTCCTGCTGTCCTTGCACCCCTCCTCTGGAGCCACAAACTTCTGGTAAGAACACGGAGATGCCTCCTCAGATCCCAGTCATGCTGGCATTTGCTCCTGGCAAGAAGAAAAAATATGGTTGAGAATAACATGAGAGCTGGGTATGCAGTCAACACCCAAGCCCCTGAGCTGCTACAAAACTAGCCTGGGAGTTTGTACAGCCAACTGGCTCACATGGCCATTTACAGTAGACTCACAGGAGGAGTTTCAAAGGGCACCATGTCATTTAGTCCAGAACAGCAAAACAATCCACTTGACCACACAAACTAGAACTCACAGAAACTGCACACAGCAAGAAGACTAATGTGCAGGCCCCGCACACATTTCTAAGCAAAGATGGTCACTTGAGAGTGCTACATTAACGGTAATATTTTTTCTCCACTTAGAGGAACAAAAGGAGAACCTTACAGAAGATTACCCTCAGGTTCTCAACTGCTATGTCTTACCTTTCAGTGATCACAAACATTCTTCAGCTTAAGGATTATGACAAACTTATTGTAGGTGAATTTCAATCGTACTTATTCTTTCTGGCAGATACGTACTGTGGGTGAATATACTGAACTGGTATGTAAAGGTTGATACAACAAAACAAGTTATTTTCTTAGCTATCATGTTTATCAAGGCTTAGATCAGTTTCAGTCTATGTATCTATTCCTATATGCAAAGGAAACCAAACAAAAAGGCAGAAAACTGCAAATGGCCACGAAATAAAGCCCACTTAAAAACTCCAGACTTTTGCTATTGCAGCTATTAATTTTTTTCCACAGTTATGCAAGACGTACACAATGCAGCCCACAGACGAGCCACCAGAAAGGATTTGGGAGAAAGATCTATTGCTCATAGCATCTACCACTTCCTACTCTGTAAGTCACGGTGGAAAACCACCCCCACAAAGCGTAGTCAGTCCTCATCAAACACACCTAAAATGAACCCTGATCTAACCGGTATTTTTCAAACTCAGACCATGGTGCAAGCACACAGCCAAAGCTAGCAGCTTTCCCGGCCTTTGGTCCCTTTTCTCAAAGCCAGCCCATACTTACACAGCCAAGACAGAGCAGATAAGCTGCACTCCACATGCTCTTACGAGTCGATTTTGTCTTTTTGTGCTCCCATGTGCCCAAACTCAGCCTTCACACACCACCCTGGAAATTACTCCTCCTTCTCCAAAAGCATTATCTTCAAATGCCTGCTTCACATTTCAACACAACCCAGCATGCCTGACATCACTTGTAGCTGCCTGGCTCGTCTTCCAAGCTCTAGGATCATTTTTCCCATCTTTATATAGCTTTCCAGTGACCCCTATTCCTTCTTAGTCACCTCTTGCTAGCAGCCTTTCATTCTTTCCACTCCTTGCTCCAAATTTTTACAACAATGCTCATGCAGAGGACAGAAAATGGAGATTTATCATTCCTCCAAGAAAACCTTCACTGGAAATCAAAGAACCACAAGGCAGATCTTTCAGGCTTCCCATTTCCATTTCAAAACAGACTTTTGGCCTATTTTCTGAAATTCACTGATTTTTACCTCTGTGCCTGACAGATGATGGAAACACCACTGTAATATCACAGAATCACAAAATGGCCAGGGTTGGAAGGGACCTTCATGAATCTCCAACCCCTCTGCCACATGCAGGGCCACCAACCTCTCCATTTAATGCTAGACCAGGCTGCCCAGGGTCCCAACCAACCTGGCCTTGAACACCTCCAGGGACGGGGCATCCACAGCCTCTCTGGGCAGCCTGTTCCAGTACCTCACCACTCTCAGAGTAAAGAGCTTTTTCCTGACATTCAACCTAAATCTTCCCTCACTCAAGTTAAAGCCATTTCCCCTTATCCTGCTGTTATCTATCCTTTCAAAGTTGATTCCCCTCCTCTTTGTAGGCTTCCTTTAGATACTGAAAGGCTGCAACGAGGTCACCCCGCAGCCTTCTTGTCTCCAGGCTGAACAAGCCCAGCTCCCTCAGCCTGTCTTCATAGGGGAAATGCTCCAGTCCCCTGCTCATCTTTGTGGCCCTCTTCTAGACTCTATCCAACAGCTCCCTGTCTTTCTTGTACTGGGGGCTCCAAACCTGGACACAGTACTGCAGATGGGGCCTCCCAAGAGCAGAGTAGAGGAGGACAATCACCTCCCTGTCCCTGCTGTCCACCCCTCTTCTGATGGAGCCCAGGATACCATTTACTTTCCGAGTTGCAAGAGCACACTGCTGGCTCATGTTAAGCTTTTCGTCTATCAAGACTCCCAGGTCTCAAAGACTTCTCCTTCCAGTCTGTATGGATGCCTGGGATTCCTCCGGCCCGAATGCAAAACCTTGCACTTTGCTGTGTTGAATCTCATCAGTTTCACCTTGGCCCATCTTTCCAGCCTCTCGAGGTCCCTCTGAATGGCATCCCTTCCTTCCACCATGTCAACTGCACCACTCAGCTTGGTGTCATCAGCAAGCTTGCTGAGGGTCCACTGGATTCCGTCATTGATGTCAGTGATAAAGATGTTAAAGAGCATCAGTCCCAAGACAGACCCCTGGGGGACACCACACATTACTAGCCTCCACCTGGACTCCATTAGAGTCATTAGAGCCATTAATGACTACCCTCTGTCTGCGGCCTTTCAAGCAAATCCTTATCCACTGAGTGGTCCACCCATCAAATCCACATCCCTCCAATTTGGAGATAAGGATGTGGTGGGGGACCATGTCAAAGGCCTTGCTCAAGTCCAGGTAAAGGACATCAGTTGCCTTTCCCTTGTCCACTGATGCCATCATTCCATCGCAGAAGTCCACTAGAGTGGTAAAGCATGACCTTCCCCTGGTGAAGCTGTCCTGGCTGTCTCAGATCACATGCTCATCCCTCATATGATCAAGCATGTCGTCTGGGAGGATCTGTTCCATATCTTCCAGGCACAGAAGTGAGACCCAGCAGCCTGTAGTTCCCCAGCTCCTCCCTGCTCCCTTTCTTGTAAATGGGAGTGATGTGAGCCTTCAACTTGAAAATGCTGCCATTAGGGAAGTTTTGCTATTTGAACAAGAAGAGAGTGACTTCCAGTGAAACTCCATCAATAGCCTCAAGGTCATCAGCTCTGGAAGACTGTCACAAATCTAACACAAATAACACCTCATTAGAGCTCTGTTTCTATCCTTCTTAAAACATGCTAATGAGTAGCAACGACCCTGCATATGCCTTAGAGCAGCTCATCGTTTTTTCCTATATTCTTCTTTCTTGCTCCTGAAATGCTGGAGAACAAAATACACTATACATGATGCAGATTTCAGAGAGGACTATCTTAAATAAAATCAAGCGTATGCTCAGAATCCAGCTTGCCCAGCAGGACTGATAAAATTGTTTTTATCAGGGATTACCACAGGACAGAAGAGAAAAAGTGAAAAGAAAAAAAAAATAAAAAAATCTTAAACCTGTCTGGCCTTTAACTAGCTCCAGGTAGTACATCAAGAACAGAGAAAGCCTAATCTTGTACTAGACCCCAAGTACTTTAACACAGAGAAAAGGAAAATCTGCTGTCTGCAGTCACTTTTTATAATCTCTCCAGGAAAGCAAAAACACAGGACCAGTGAAAAACACTTTGGACTGACTATTTTGCGTACCCATCTAGTTGCATTTTCACTACATGCACTGCACTGATCCCTCCTTTAGGCAGGAAAAGGAAGACTCTTCTGCTCATATCTTGCGAGGCAAAAGGTGCCTCCAACTGGTAAAATTAAAAAAAACGCAGGATGTAAAAGATTGAAGCAAAGCAGGGTTTGCCCACCATATCTTGAATGCTGCTCATACCATTAAATTGGTTACTTCCTTGTTTCTGCCCAGCCAACAAAGCCTGTAAATGGGTAGGAGTGGGTAGACAAAAGGAGACAGGGGATATGAAGGATGGGGTCACCACTGCTTCTGCACCATACTGGAGCTTTTCAACCTCCTGAGCATAAGGTACGTGGCAATGAGGACTTTATGCCAAACAGTTACACTCCGAAAAGCATTCCTACTGAAAGTGGATCAGACTGTACAAAGGGACTCTCCCCCTGCCCCCAACCCACCCCAGCTCCTTCAGCAGAAACAAAATGTGAAGGGCACTCTGCTTCCACAGCAAACAAAGGTGGCTCCTAACTTAATACCCGTGTGAGCTCTGGGTGCAGTCTCGTGTTTTTCAAGAACTGCAAATAAAGGCAACAGGATCTTCCAGTGAACTCCTCTCAGGAGCACTGTGGCAAAAATGTAATCTCCACTAAAAAGGAAGTCTGAAACACAAAAGCACAGGAGTGGCTTCTTACTAATGAGGTTTTGATGGCTTACTGCCTACAACGCTGAAAAAAAATCCCCAAATCTGGACACAGCTTCCCACATACCACTCCCAAACACTATAACTGGAAGCACTGCATGCAACAGTCTACGCTGTCCTCTCTTGATAAGTGCTGCTGTCTTTGCTGATACCACTGAGAGAACTACCAAGTGGGGAAAGACATTCAACACTTACTTAAAATTAGTAAAATGAAAGGTACTCAACTCCAGCAAATAGAATTTCACCATAAATACGACATTTAGGAAGTCATGTATGGTAACACACTGTTTTAAAAATTGCTCACGCCTGAAAGAGTAGCACCTATCTAATGCATGGACTAATGATCTTACCAAATGAAAATGTGGCTCTTAAACACATTATGATTAAACACTATAATTTCTGGATCACCCATCTGAGAACGCAGAAAAGACGAGCAATGTAGTTCTGTCATTACTTTACGAAGTTAGGAGAAAGGCAGTTACATGCCAGAGAAGCACTGATGGAACTACTTCTGAAATATCAGTTGCAATAACAAAAATAACTATCCTGTTTTTGCAAAGACCTTCAAAAAAGCCAGCTGTGTTTTCAGAATTTGGGTCTGCCTCCTGTGTTGGTTCATATCAGATTTTTGGCACTGTTACAGTTGTTCAGTCTTGATACTTATCACAGTATCCTTTCCTACCACTGCCTCTCTCCACAGACTTCAAGTTTCTGGATTAGGTGACTCAAGAGATACTGATTCAGCATGATCTTGAAGCTACTGTATTTGGCTCAGC